ACAATGTCACGCGACAAGTGCCGGAAAAGCGATGGGTGAGGGTAGCTCCCAAATCGGACCCGGCGTCGGCTGACGCATGGTTAAACACAATGGTCATTTTTCACCTCCTCCCTAGTGTACCCACACCGGGTGTTTGTGGCGGGCGCGTTGAACCGGCGGTGGAGGTGCAAAGGACAAAGGAGCTGCAGGGTATTACCCGGCGCCGTCCCGCGCTCTATAGGGTTGACCGCAGTCCTGGAGGTAATACAGGGGTGACGCCTATCCGCAAACCGCGCGGTCACCGCGCGGCCGACTGGAAAGGTGACGCCCCGCTGCGAGTTAGAAATCTCCGGTAATGTACCCGCTCACCCCTCCGCGACCTTCACGGTCCTTCGACAATCTGGGCTGAGCAGTGCGAGTACGACTAACTCAGTGGAGTCTTGTTCTTTGTTAAAATTGATTGTTATCTTTTTCGCTTCCCGAATTTTGATAAATTGAAAGCATACCCAAAGAAGTGGTCTGAATTGCATTGCTTACGTTTCAATGTTCATGCGATTTGCGCCCGTTTCATGCAGTCAAATTATCGTAACTGAAATAAGTCTCATGCTAACTTATGATTGTTTATTAGAAATATGTCATTTTTAGTTTATCGTCTTACTCCTGCCTAATTTTCGAGCGAGTGATCGTTGGAAGCCGGAGAAAACAGTGTCAACGAAAAGGATCTTTCGAGTTCTACTGCACGTCAAAGTCTGGTCAACGTCACACTAATGGACCAAATTCCAAGTCTCTGTGTAATTGACACCCTTACCACTAGCCTAACTAGTGACCAATTGACTAACAAGTGACACTTGTCACCAGTGGCGCAGCCAGGATTTCGTTTCGGGGGGGTCATCGCTTCCAAAGCGGGCCCCCTAGTGTGCGGGCCCCCACCCATTTTTTCAGAATCTCTCCATATTTCATACGCATTCTGCTGGGCGGGCCCCCTTTACCTGCACGATAACCCTGAGCGAGTTTGAATCAGAAAATTTGCATAGAACAGTAGCTCGGTAATCACCCGGTCTTCACTTTTTACGCAAATTGACCACGACAGAAATATGTTACTATGACGTATGACTTCGTATCTTTCGAGTCCGATATGAGCCCCAATTCCGCAATATGCATAGCATATTATATGCAATCGGAACTGTTGCCTGCTTCTGTCGCACAAGATTTAAAAGTAGTCCCATGTGCCTGTCCTAAGTCATCTATTGGCTGCTGTAGTAGATTGTGCTTTTATTCTTCTTCATTACGTGAATTCGCTCGTAAGAAGTTTTAACCCTCGCCGGCACAGGGGGGAGGGGTTGATGCAACCCCCTAAGGTTTTTTTTCGCGAAGAACTCGCGTAAAAAAGCGGCTGATCGCGACGTAACTTCCATAGTGCGCTGAAATTCGCACAACTTATAGAACAAGGATGGGTAACGTGCCTGTGAAGAGTCACAGCTCGATCGGGCCGGTGGTGAGCACATGGCGCGTGCTCAAAAAGTGCAAATTCGCGTCATAGACTTTACATGCATAAATCGGCTTGCAAAAATGGGCGACAATGGCTCAACTTGCCCGACACCGGAGCGGGTTCAAACAACGCTTGTTGGCAAGAGAAATGTACCTACCGCCTCTCATGGGAAAATTGTGAAAAGCTAATTGATCAAAAACAAGGTGGAACAAATTGCTGGAGAAAATAGCATTTGCTTATGACTTACTTAATTACAGGGGTTTTGCTACATAACCTGGTATGTTTGACAATTGAAATGGGCATAGATTGGAAGAGCATTCAATTGTGACCAAGGTCCAATCATCGCTTTTGCATGACGAGCAACAATATTCTTAAGAATATAAATGTTTCAAACCTCTACATAGTAATTCATCGATGGCTTTCACCACAGATAACAGTAGTACTACTGTTATCTGTGCTTTCACTCTTCAATAACCTACGCCAACCTATGTCATGAAATACACTTGGCATGTTCTATAGTAGAACGCATGGTTATTATCAGACACGAGCACCTCGATGCGATGGATATTTTTTCCCAAAACCAAAATGCTTAGCCGTCAAAAGGCAATCGACCGTAATGGATACATAACCCACAGACACAAGACCAACCAAACGCCCACCGATCGAAAATACCCCTTATTCGCGTTGCGAAGCAAGCGGGTCACCCTAGCGGGCCCCATTCACCCGGGGGCTCGGGCCCTATCCACATGGGGGACCAAGCCCTATCCATACGGGGGCCCGGGCCACGTTCACCTGGGCTCCGGGCCTCGTCCACCCGGGGCTCCGGGGCCCGCCCACCAGGGGGCCCGGGCCCCATCCAGCCGGGGGCCCGGGCCCCGTCCACCCGGGGCCTGGGGTCCGTACTACCGGGGGCCCGGACCCATCCATCGGGGGGCCCTGGCCCCATCTACCCGGGGGCCGTGCCCCATCCACCTAAGGGGCCCGGGCCCGTTCTCCCGGGGCCCGGGCCCCATCCACCCGGGGGCCTGTGCCCTATCCACCCAGGGGCCCGTGCCCTATCCACCCAGGGGGCCCGGGCCCGTTCTCCCGGGGCCCGGGCCCCATCCAACCGGGGGTCCGGCCCCGTCCACCCGGGGCTCAGGGCCGTTCTCCCGGGGGCCCGGGCCCCATCCAGCCGGGGGCCCGGGCCCCCTCCACCCAGGGGGCCCGGGCCCGTTCTCCCGGAGCCTCGGGCCCCATCCACCCGAGGGGCCTGGACCCGTTCTCGCGGGACCCGGGGGTCCGGGCCCCGTCCACCCGGGGCCCGTTCTCCCGGTGGCTCGGATCCATCCACCGGGGCCCCATCCGCCGGGGGGCCCGGGCCCTATCCACCCGGGGGCCCGGACCCATCTACAGAGGGCCCGGGTCCCATCCACCCAGGGGCCGGGCCCGTTCTCCTGGGGGCCCGGGCCCTGTCCACCTGGGGCCCCAGGCCGACCCCTCACCCGAGGTGTCGCAGTGGGCATTTCTCGAAGCGGGCTCGTCCGATTAGATTAGGACCTCTCTCTCTCCTCTCTCTCTCTCTCTCTCTCTCTCTCTCTCTCTCTCTCTCTCTCTCTCTCTCTCTCTCTCTCTCTCTCTCTCTCTCTCTCTCACTCTCTCTCTCGAGCGGGCCCCTGACAGAAATTTCGGGGGGGTCAGCTGACCCTCTGACCCCCCCCTGGCTGCGCCACTGCTTGTCACCTAAAACGCTCCCATAGGTCACCGAGACAGATGCCTATATAAGACGCCATACAAAGCCAAAGATCAAGTGCAAGTCAGTTCACAAAACCATCGTAAACTAGCAATAAAAAATAATCGCAAGATTGGCTTTCTGTTTTGATGCTGACTATTTCAGAAGGAAAGACTAACACGCTAAAAATAATTGTATTTATATCAAAGGGAAGGAGGCACATTGCACTTCCATTGCAAAGCCATTCTTTCCACATTCGACGATGTACCTGGAAAGTCACGATGCACAGGTTGTTTTCAATTTGAGGCGTTTTTACGTACCTACCTATATTGCGCTCCGCATTTGTTTCAACCAATTGATGGTTTTGCTTGCATCACGTTTGCTATGCTATAGCTGAAGTTTGACAGCCACCAGAAAGGGCTGGAGACAACAGTTTTGTAGCCCTGTTAATTCTACACCTTTTATGTCTTGATCATGTCTCTGTATCTTCAAAGCTGTAGGCCTGACAGCTCTTCTCGTGAAGGTCTTTTTTCGGTCGAAAATGGCAGAACATGACGTCATTCTGATGTCATTTGTGGCCAACCTATCATAGCCTCTGGAAAAATTTTTGGTCGCAATGTGTAAAATTAATGCCCGGAGGGTCCTGAAAGTTTAGTGGCGATATCTCCCGCCGTTTAGGAGATATCGACGGAAAAGGACGGGGGGGGGGGGGCGTTTCAGTCCCCTCCCCCTACGGGGCGCGGGTTAAGCGTGTCGATTGTGAGCATTGGGACAAAGCTATAATTTGTGAACTCAGCTCGTGTGATGTGGCACAGCCTACTACTTCAGGCAAATAATTGCCTGTGAAAAGTGGAATAGCGTTCTGTAGCCGACTATACCTAAGCTTGCCAGAAAGCCAAAACACCAGCATGCAAGCTTTCAAACATCACATATAAGAATAAACGAGCATTTAGGTGTAAGCAATGGAATCTAAAATCAATAATTGCGAAGTAATCTTGTATTTCATATGCAATAAATGGCTATATGCATACCTACATCTATTCCAGCACTTTACTAGCATTACAGTTCTAATCCATAAAGCTTTCGCGATCATGTGAAGCGGGCGTTAAAGGCGTCCCAGGCCGCCACTTTGTAACAATTGCTGGTGTGTGCACATAATACTGTTGAAAAATCACGGCGGCACTCGCCAGTCGCCACTCCATCACTCCAGACTCCGGGGCAATGAAAATAACTCCGCGGACATAGCTGAGCTTTGCTCGGTGCATTACTCAACTAGTCAGTAGTCTGACACAGGTGAACGTTATCCACGATTATAATCAAACTGCCTTCGCTTCCACTGCTAGTGCACTCAACTGATTGAACTACCCAGAGCCGTCTGCTGATTCATTTAACTTTCACAAATAGTCGCTTAGCAGGGATGACCGTGCTTTGTCCTGTGCCGTTGGTTTTATGTTGCACCATTTCTTTTAGTGAACTGTGGCCTGTGAGCCTGTAATGAATGCAAGTTAATCCGTCTGCCGTCTGCTGTGCTCATTGGAACCTTTTACCGTAGCCTGCTACATCCAGCGCCTTCTACACACACAGGGAATTCCTCATTAGGCTGTCAGCCGCGGGTTAAGCTCAACATCTCCACTATACTATACGACAAACATTTTTCAGTTGTAACGAATGGCTTAGCGACTTTGCACAACGAAAATTCCTTGAAAAATGAATATATTAAGTACGATAGAAAATATAGCTCTCCTTTCGTCACATAACTCCCGTTTCAAAAGATAAATGCACTCCGCGGCGTTGTACCTCCAACCTGTGCGTCAGCCTCACCTTCCGTGGTACCTCCAACTTCCGATCGCTCACCTCCCCCTCCTCCCTGGTCACGTCCCGTCACCTCCCGGCCGCCGCCGCCGCCGCCTGGCTGGCCGCGAATTCGTCCTGCTGCGCCTGCAGCTGCGCCGCCTGGAACGCCTGCAGGCTGTTGTTCTCCTCCATAGCGATGGCCAGGTAGGCTGCCGACATCACGGCCACCAGACCGATGGCCAGCATCAGCGGGTTGCGGATGGCCGCAGCCAGCGCGTTGGTCCGCTCGGCGTCTGTCTGCGGCCGGCTGGAGGGTCGGGTGGAGGGACGGCTGGAGGGACGCGTGGAGGGACGGCTCGTGGTGGTGGGGGAGGTGGTCGGAGCTGCTGTCGGCCGGCCGTTCCCGTTCCCCATGTGCTGGTCCTGGAGGATGGGCCGGCTGAAGGTGGCTGCTGGCACCACCTGTATCCCAGCGCCCATCTGCTGCGGCCGCGCTGGTCTCGGCGGCGCCACGGGTCCGACTCCTCCGGAGCCGCTCTCTCCGCTGCTCCCTCCACCACCGACTGAAGCGGTCGCGTGACACGTGCCGCCGGCGTTACTGCAGGACGACTGCACGGTGTTGGTGGGACGATTGTGGGTCATGAGTGGTCTCAGCGGACCGGGTCCGCTGATCAGAGGACCGCTCACGGCCGCAGAGTCGCCACCAGGACCACCTCCCCCTCCGCGGTCGCTGTCTGCCGGCACCGCCACCGGGCCCAGAGCGACGCTCGGGTGGTGAGCCCCGAAATCAGCCTCGGCCAGAGATGCTGTCAGACCGTTGTGAGGCGCAGCACCGGCGGGACGGGACAGGTCAACGGCAGTCACCCTGTTAGCGCTGTTCTCCACTAACATGACGTCCACTATAGCTGGCGAGGGAGTAGCAATAGCTGAAGACGGGCTAGTTGACGCTGGCGACAGTTCAGGAGACACGTGTTCACCTCCCCCACCGTCTAGCGAGCTGACTCCGGACAACCCCGGGATATTTCCAGATGGGAGCGTCTGAGCTCCCTCCTGCGGTCTTCCTCCTGCTATAAGACCGTTCCCGGTGCCGGGGTCGCCGGCGGCACTCCCGCTCACCAACTGGGGCTCCTCCAGCGGCCGTCCCGGCCGGGTGATGCCCAGTTCGGCAGCCTCTGCCGGGGTCAGCTGGTTGAACAGCTCCGCCTGACTAAAGTAGTCCACGCCCGTGTAGTCGGGCCGAAAGGTCACCGTCCCAGTCCTCTGCTGGATGCTATCTGAACTCGAGCTGGGCTCCTCGGGACGAGAGGGAGATGACACTTCCTCCAGACGAGTTTCATTGGCCGACGGGAGGGAGTCAGACTCTGTCATCGCTGGATGTGGTGCGTTCGTTGGATCACTGATGACCACGGGAAGTTGCGACGACTGATTGTGCCGCTGCTCGCTGTGAGGTGGCAGCTGATCGTGGTCAGAATGATGAGAACCGTCGCTCGAATAATGAAGGACATGATCCGTGAGGTGAGGATCTGGGGAGGATGATGAGCTGCTGGGAAGATGATGATCACTAGAGGGTGGTCCCGTTGGTCGGTCCGTTCTCTCTGCCGCCGCTGCCGCCAGGTGCTGCAGGTTCATATTGGCCACCGCCTGCAGTTGCAGGTACTGCTGCAGCGGGAGACCCACGATCACTGCCTGCTGTCGCTGCATCTGCTGCTGCAGCTGGGCGCTGCTAACCAGCGGCACAGAGCCGGCTGCTGGGCCCAGCACAGGGCGCGCCTCAACCACCGAGCTGCCGGCCAGCAGCGGGCTGGCCAACAGCTGTTCGACCAGCTGCTGGTGCTGCTGGTGCTGCTGGTGGTGGTGGTGGTCGTGGTGCTGGCGCGGTCGGTGCGCGGCAGAGGAGGGCGCCGAGGACTGACCGGCTACTAGTAGCGTCGGGGCAGGTCGCACGCCCGAGCGAAGGGCGTTGATCAGTGCCACTCTGTGACCCGACTGGCAGACCAACAGGCGCCAGGATGCCGCTAGGACAATAGTTGCTAGCAGTAGGCGCATGGCAGTATCCGGATCACCGCACCAATGCAACGCCGTTCCAGCTCAATACAAATCAGGGCGGCGGCATCCTGTGAAGTGTGAGGCTGCTACAGCACCATGGGAAGCGGGATACCAAGCTGAAGCTGAAAATAAACTCCGTGTCTTGTTCGCATACCTCTACAAACACCAATATTTCGAATGCTCAAACTTCAAAGCAACGTGTAAAACACTTCTGGCACAAGCACACCACGGCGACAGCACGCGACGAACTGATGATTCGCAATTCGCAATGCCTGATCTCGGCACGTGGCAAAACGGTACCTCTAACCCACATAGCCCACCGAGACGCGCTCTCAGCACGGACGACATCCTCCCTGCCTCTGTGCAGTCATGGCCGTGTCGTCACACTCAATAGCCGTGATGATTGCGGCTGTGACGCTCGGCCGTCACGCCCGTGACCCGTGACTTCTGCCGTGACGTGACGGTTCATGAGGGTGTCTTGCATCTCTGAACGGAGTGCATTGAGGTGGTCGTGCAGTGCGGGGCTTCACTTCAGTGAGACGAACGCCAGTTGTGTGATATACATAGACGGTGCGCTAATACGGAAGTCAGCTAAGTGCATTATCCCGGAAGTCACACGTTTACTTCGAGAGCAGCGTGGAACAGCTTATTGGGTAAATGACAGCCCGTGTTTGTGAGTTATGAGATAGGGACTGATGTTCTTGGTACAACCGATCACAAGTTCAAGGGTGAATAAACCAAGACTAAAATAATACCTACCAAGAAAAAGACCATACCGAAAGTTTTGGTGTTCATTACAAGAATTGAGTGACTAAACGACCGCTTATGTGACCAAGAACTTGGCCGTGGCGTACCTAACTTTTATTCTGCTAACGTCGGTGGTCTTCCTCGCCTTCTGCCATGTCGATGATGGAAATGGCCGGGGACAGCATGGGCCTCAACATCGGCGACACGGACGACAACTTCAGAGCCGGTGAGTGTGCCTATTGGACAGCATGGGCGACACAGACGACACGACATTTTCAGAGCCCACGGTGAGTGCATCGCAAACGTCTATATCCATATCCACGCTTGTGGATACCGCTGTCCGAGACAACATCCAAGAATAAAAGCTGGACTAGACGCAAGGTGACTACAATAATACATAGGCTGTCGTTGCATTGATCAAGTCTGCTCGGAATATAGGACATTCGGAACATTAACACTAAACAGTAGGAGGGATTGACTAGGAATATGGGGATAAAGGGTTATTACTCATTCTTCATTCATTCATTCATTCATTCATTCATTCATTCATTCATTCATTCATTCATAAATACATTCATCCATCCATCCGTTCATTCATTCATTCATTCATTCATTCATTCATTCATTCATTCATTCATTCATTCATTTATTTATTTATTCATTCATTCAGTCAGTCAGTCAGTCAGTCAGTCAGTCAGTCATTCAGTCCGTCAATTAATCAATCAGTCAGTCAATTAATCAATCAGTTAGTCAGTCAGTCAGTCAAAACAGTCAGTCAGTCATTCATTCATTCGTCCATCCAACTATCCATCCATCTCTATTCACTGACGGATCCAGGGGCATTTGGGGAAAATATTTCCCCCCTCCTCGTAGCGCCCGAAATCGACGAAATTTTACGATTTTTATTTCCAGGAAAAAGATATCCAAATATGAAACAACATTTTTTTGTTAGAAATGTCTCGTGTTGAACTTTGCAGCAGTGCGTAAAGAATCAAATTCCCGATTTTTTTTTTTAATTTGGAAAAGAATTGCGGTGTATGCCCCAACAGCCACCAAGACGGTGCCTTTCTGGATCCGTGCAGTGTCCCTATTCAAGCATTTTCTCGTTCTTTTATGCAATAATTCACTCCGTGATCGTTCGTCTACTCGTGGACGGTGGAATCGTTAGTGCGTTCATTATAAACCCAAGGCTTATAAACCAGTAAAACGCCTTTTGGGCGAAGAACGAGCGAGCAAGATAGTGAGCGCTGCACGTGCGGACGGGCGAGAGGGTACTTCCAACGGGCTTGTGCAAAGCACCCTTCTAACCGGTCGCTAGCGGTGTACCAAATTTGAACGCAATCGGCCCAGCCGTTCCTGAGATCTGGAAGCGGCATTCTGCACGTGCGCACGTGCAAACGGGGTCCAAACTGACTTTTGCACGGCACCCTACTAACCGGTCCCCAACCGTGTACCAAATTTGAGCGCAATCGGCCCAGCCGTTCTCGAGATCTGGAAACGCCCCCTGCACGTGCGCACGTGCAGTAGCACCCTAACCGCAACACATGGGAATGCATTGCCTGGTGGGTGCCTACATGTACATATGCCAAGTTTCAGCGAAATCGCCCCAGAAATTACCGAGTTACTGAAATGGGAACAAATTTGGCACCTCTTCTTTTTGTATTTTGCACGTGCAGTGGAGATCACTCACATAAATCAAGAGTATCCGACCTTTGGTAGAAGGGATGCAGCTACCCAAGATTACTTTACTACTCCAGCTACCCTATAAAAATTACCGCAAGACAATCACTCAAGCCACTGCTGAGATATGGGCCTCTCAAAATCACTACTTTTGCAAAACTGCTTGAAAACCCTTGACTTTTCACGTGGCACGCGCCAGGACGGTCACTGAGATGAATCAAAAGTAGTCAATTACGGGGTAGAAGGGATGGGGCTACCCAGCAAAAAAGACCGCAGGCCAATCGGTCCAGCGGTTGCTGAGATATAAGCCTCTCAAAAGCGTTACAGGCCAGGCCGGGCCGGGCCGCTCATACTGAGATTTTCCGGTATATTGAAAAGACTTCGCTTCGCTCGCTGCGCTCGCTCGTAATTACGTTATTCTTTCGCTTTTTCCCATTAGTTCGTTCGGTCGCATGTAGTCATTTCTTTGTTTGTTCGTTCTTTCCTTTCCGTGGCGTTGCTAAAACAAAACTTCGTATGATAATTGGCTAATGACATGAGGTACCATATAATTCATGCTCGGATGCCATTGCTGGCATTTGCTATGTTTATGGAATAAATATCCGCAACGTTCTACGTAGCGTGTACTGCAACAATCCCATTTTTTGTGTTGATTATTTTTTTCACCCCATCCGCTGCAGGGATATGGCTGGTAATCGTTCTGATGCACAGTAGCAGCGGAACACCTTCAATTAAAAGGGGGGGGGGGTCACTGTCACTTTTGGTCCCATTCTTTCCATGCAACGCCCATAGGGCTAATGTTAAAATGCCAAAAGCAAAGCGGGGGGGGGGGCACGGTGCCCCGGTGCCAACTATACTGATGCATTGTTCCATACCCGTGCCTGATACCCTCGCACCTCGCTCGGCTGTAGGAAAGTGTGTGAGCTGGCTAATCTAATGCCTTCCCTCGCTCCGCCGCAGGTATGTGGCTGCTGGCCCTGGTGCTGACGCTCGGCGCCGCGTTCCCGGCACTGGTCAGCGGCATCGGTCTGGGATTCCGCCGACGGAGGAGAGAGACGTCCACGGTCCAAATCCATCCCGAACGTCTCATATCTCTGCTGCTGGCTTTGGAACGGGCAGTGGAGAAAAGAACGCGTCAGCATGTCGACGGCAGATGATCAATCACGGCGCTTACGTGCAAAGTAGACATTGGATATAATCTGGTATTTGTGCTACATGCAGTGAAGAGTGGAGACTCGTAGTTCGGACTTCGGGGTGATCTGTGTGGCAGTTGGAGCTCGAACAGAGTGTGCTGGGCCTGGAAACCCTCGATCATGGCGTTACTCGTTACTCGTTAGTGAAGATATTGGAATCAGATCCGATACTAGTGAATCACGTGGAAGCAAGTGGCTCAAAAAGATTTCTGGACGCTCGAATACAGATCATATGGGTTTTGAGGTGCAAAATTTATCTACCTTATACCTTTATATAACGGTATGCAGATTTCACGAACTATCAAAAGGAAAAAAAACACAAATTAGTAGCGTCTTCCTTTTTTATTCCGATAGAAAAATGGCGCAGGTGTTACATTCAAAGTAGTATGATACCACTGAACTCTATAATGTGGAATGCGCATCGGCCGCCAAATGGTGTCCAACGGTGCCGCCATGTTGCGCAGACCAGAAAGCGGCCGCCGCCTGTGCTGGGGAATAGGGAATTCGGGACCTCGATTTACGTTTGCGGTCGCTGCATCCGTTACGCTCAAGCTATGTGGACACGGAACCCGGCATCTTACGCAGAATTGAGTGGAGAACAAGATGAAATCCTTAAAAATCATCAGCTATTAGGAACTAATACGTTAAACCCTTATAAGTCAATGGGGAAATATGAAAATTGTTATTTTGGCGCCGAGAATGATCTGAAACTATCTCAAGCATATAAAATCATGATTTCATGCACTCTTTGCAAGGTTCTATGCTTCATATTTGCATTGTTGCCCTTGCGTGACGTCATTTGTGACGTCACAAGGGTCACCATTTTTCTTCAATAACTCCCGATCAAATTGAGCTAGCGAGTCGGGAAAGCCACCAATGGTCTCAGGAAGACCTGCCGAATCGAATGATATGCGACATGACCTCTTTCGACCAACTTCGTGACCTGGGGGTGCTGACCTGACCTTGACCTGAGGTCAACACCCTAAGTTGACCTGACCCGAACAAAAAGTATATCACTCGATGCGCCTGAGCTAGCTGAACACGATGATGCCAAAATCGCGGCTCTACGGCCATTTTTGGCGAAGTTATTTACCAAAAACCGAACCCCTGCCTTACATCACTTGACCTGACCTCAGAGGTCACCGGTTGACCTGAGACCCTTACAGCGGGTTCCTACCAGTCACTCTGCATTATACTTTGCCGCATACGACCACTTTACCGCTTAATTCTAGTTTAATTAGCGGTGCATTAGCGAGGTGGGTTCAATCAACCCCCTCGGCCGGGGCAAATGTAGGTCAGGCGAGTGAATTTGAGGAATTCTGAAGATACGATCGTGTTTCCCACTCAATTCTACGTAAGATGCCGGGTTCCGTATCTACATAACTTGAACGTAACGGATACGGCGGCCGCAAACGTAAATCGAGGTCCCGAATTCCCTATTCCTCAACACAGGCGGCAGCCGGTTTCTGGTCTGCGCAATATGGCCGCCACCGTTAGACACTACGGCCAATAGGGTTGAAGCGGCATTGCTCCCCTGTGTATGATACAGAGTGTTTTTATATACCTTGTGATACAGTATACAAAGTGTTCAAAAGAGCAGAAAGTAGGTAGTAAAAATAAAATCCTCTACAGCTATTCGATTCTTTACACAACTTTCATTGCTAGCCTGCTGATGCGATAAAAATTGAACAGTATTCCAACTGCCTTTCTTTTAGGCCCTGTCATCTTTTGTTTGAGTGGTCTGAGGCTCTGTGGCGTAACATGGGCGTAACCTGGGCGTAACCGTATGATATTTTTTTATTGGATTTTGCTAGTGCGTATACAATTGCATAAACTGATTCCTTGAACTGCTTTGCATGCATCATATGCTGTTACGAATGCGATTCCTGACCAATTTTTACATAGGTACCAACTTTGACGCTTGAAGTGACCATCCCACCTTGATCCCTAACTAATGATCCCACCTTGATCATTAGTTTTGAGTTGAGATAACCAAATTAGGGTCCCTGGCCTGCAATTGCCAGTTAGGGCGCTCACAACATCGAGAAGGGCATTCATTTGGAGATATTTATTTTCAAAGTTGCAGCACTTTGGATTCAGAGGGGCTAATGCATTTGATTGCCCCCTCTGAGGGACGCCGGTGAAAACAGGGCGCCAGAGGGCATATTAGTCACGTGACATTTGGAACTTCTCCCGCTCCATGGGCCTTCTATATCCCAAACGTCACGTGTAAATTTAACGAACCTTGATCAAATCGCCCCAGGGCCCAGGCGCCCTGTTTTCACCGTCGTCCCCTCTGAGCTAGTGATCTCAGCACAGACCTGGTGATTTTAGAATCTTATACTGACATCTTTGTGAAGCAGTGTTGGTATATGTTGTTTGCGCAGTACGCACAACATCTGCAGTGCAGCACTTCAATAATATCAAATTATCACTTCAAAATGATGTTGTGGGAACAGCGAAGGCTAAAAAAAATAAACAAAAGTAATTGTCTGAGATCTCAAAAACCAGTTGATATTTTTCAATGAAATTTGGTTTGGTACCTAGATATTCATTTTTGCTCACTCTAATCTAAGTGATACAACACCACTTTTATGCTAATTCATTATTTTTTTGAAGGTGGGGGGTCCTTTTAAGTGTTTACCATGGACTGCAGTTCACAACCTATATATATATAATGTGGACTTCTCAGTAACCTATCTATAGTTCGTTTTTTAATGTTCAACTTGCTGTAATTGTCTCTTTGAACACAGCACGAATTTGAGAGCAAATAAGACCCTCTAGGTTGTGTCTTGTGATATTTAAAAGTGTATAATGAAACATTTTGATTAAGTGTTTGAGTCTTAGGGAAGCCAGGCCTTATACAACTATAAATTATATCATTACTTTTAATCATAACTAATAAATTGAAGATGCTTTACAAAACTATATTGAAGGTGAATTATCGAGGACCATGGGTAATGTAATGCCTAATTTTGTACTGCTTTTAGCACATTTTGCTCCTGTGAAATGGATGATAATATGGTGTACCTAGGCTAGGAATACAATTGGTCCTAATATCTTGCTGCATATTTCAGTTGATATAACTTCTAAGGAATTATACCTATACCTTCTGCTCCCTTAGTACCAAGCAAACATGAATAGCTTGATGAAGAAGGGTCTTCTGGCTGCCTCAGTGGTAGGCACTGTGGTTGGTGGAACGGTGCTTCTTAGGTGAGTAACCAATGAACCATTGCATTCAAGTGAAGTGTACCTATACGCGCACGTGCAGTTTTCTGTCATTCCCACTGATTGAGACCAGTCTCCACTTCCAGTCTCGTTCACCTGACTATGTTACCGCGCCTCCAGGGACGCAGGCACGGCGCCCAAGTTTAGCACGGACGCCCGGCTGGACGGCCGCACGGTGGTGGTGACGGGCGCCAACACGGGCATCGGCCGAGAGACGGCGCTCGACTGCGCCCGGCGCGGCGCGCGCGTCCTGCTCGCCTGCCGAGACATGACCAAATGTGAGGAGGTACGCCAGTCGCAGCTGAGGGGAAGGAGGAGGTCTGTGGGAGGGGGAAAGAATGCGTTGGGGTTTTAACAGTTTCTTCGGCCAACGCATGGCTTATCGTGAAAAGCATGAATGGCGGAAATTTTGAAATCTGGTCGGTAGAATTACTCGGCGACGGGACAGAGTGTCCTGAGACCGCGCTAGCTTGTTCTGTGTGTATCGGTTCCCGACATGATGCTTTGTGTTCAATGTTTGTTTGAGATTTATTGATGAATTATAGTAATGTGGTTTCGTTACCTCCTATGTTGTTGCATACTCATCGCCTTTGAGCCTATTAGTCGATAAGAACACTGGAATGTGTTCCATCTAAGCGCAGTTATAAGTGTAACTTATGGATGTTCAACCTAGTTACCTTTGGCATACACGGTGTACTTACATTCGTGTTGCAGCAGCGTTAGGTGAATACATTTCTATGCATTCTTCATTCGTTGCAGGCCCGAAAGTTCATCGTACTGGAGACTTCCAACAAATACGTATACTGCAGGCACTGCGATCTGGCGTCGCAAGAATCGATCAGAAAGTTCGCTGAAGTCTTCAATAAAAGTATGTATTGGTCTTTTATCTTATGGCTTGTCACTGCAAGGCATGCTCATTACTCACCGTCTCAACAGTTTACATGTAAGCTTACTCGTGCAAAGGCTTGTCTGATTATTAGCTGTTTAGATCGATAAAGCTAACAATTTACATCCCTGAAATCTGTTAAGCTAGTGTAGAGTGGAGACTTATGCGTGGTTCACACCGGATCCGTAATGACCGTTACGTGCCGTAATGAATACGTCGGCGATTAAATAATATCTTGAAAGTGGAGGGCACAATGCAACGCGCATGCGTAGTTCAATTTTTTGGCGACGTAACGCCGTATTCGTTACGGATTCGGTGTGCACCGGGAGTTGCCATGTTGAGCGCCGTCCTTCGAATCAAGTGCGCCAACACTGTTTTGCTTATAAACAATCGAAAAATGGGCTAAAGCTAAGAGCTGTTTCTTAATATCGGTGCGTCGGAATTTTAATTGGTTTTGCTCTCTTCTTTTTAAATTTATTCCTATCACTTTTTCATAGTGGTTTATAATTGTATGAAGGCATATCATTGTTAATTAACTACAATTGTGGGCATGATACTATACAGAGAATCTTTTATCCTTTTTTGGCATAAATTACAAGAAAACATGCCCATGCTGGTCAACGCTGAAGTTCATTTTCTACACTCGTGAATCGGTGCTATCCATGGGCAAGATCAACGTACGCATCGTACAATTTGCTCAATTGGCTTGCGAGGAGGCGGTGCAGTGTCCGTCCAAGCATCAAGTCTAGCAGGGGCAATATGGGCAGCGAAGTTGACTCAGAACTGCATAAAAGACGTGGCACGAGAATCTATGTATTGGAATTTATTTTGTGGACTTTGAACTTGACCTGTAACATACCTACATGATTAGGGCTAGGCTAGGCCTACGAAGGAAATGTTATCTTTAAATAAACGAGTGAAATGTAATTACGGAACATGAATTTTATGTAGGTACGTCACTCAAGAGATACAAAGTAGGTTGTGACATTCTGAAGGCATAGGTACCTACATGAAATAATGCCTAAAAATCAGTCGGCGAGTTGATACGATTTTTTTTTTCAAGTAGAAAGGTCCGCACTTGTACACGAGCAGACCGCTACCCGCTACCCAGACCAACCCAATCAATCGCAACATGTGAGAAGGGGTGGGCACGTGCGCATGTGCCGACCAATACTCTCGCTGACCTTTGCAATCTGCATACTTTATATGCGTGGTGTCATTTAGCATACCAAAGTCCAAATGTGAGCGCTATCGGCCCAGCCGATCCCGAGATATGAAAAAGGGGTGCGCACGTGCGCACGTGCCGATCAATACCTTTGCCGACTTGTGAATTCTACATATAAGCATGTTATCATTCAGCATACTTGATATAAGCACTTTCGGCCCAGCCGATCCCCAGATATGAAAAAGGGGTGCGCACGTGCGCACGTGCAGATCAATGCTTTTGCTGACCTGTGCAATCTGCAAATAAACTTGGTGTCATTCAGCATACTTAATATGAGCGCTATCGGCCCAGCCGATCCCAAGATGCCAAAAAGGGGTACGCACGCGCGCACGTGCAGACCAATGCCTTTGCCGATCTGTTCAATCTTCATATGTACATGGTGTCATTCAGCACACCAAATATGAATGCGATCGGCCCAGCCGATCCCCAGATATGAAAAAGGGGCACGCACGTGCGCACGTGCAGATCAATGTTTTTGTCAACCTGTGCAATTTGCATATAAACATGATGTCATACAGCATACCAAATATGGGCGCGATTGGCACAGCCAATCCCGAGATATGAAAAAGGGGTGCGCACGTGCGCACGCGCTGAGGCAAATCGAAATCGTCCTAAGGTCACGGGATGTGTAGTGTGCACCCAGCCAAAACAACAAACAAATATTGAACCGTTTCCATTCAGCCGTTCCCGAGTTATGGTATGACGAGCTCTTTTGGAACCTCTCTCGTCGCACGTGACACGTGCTGTAACAGCCACTCATGAGTGATATCAATAGCACAGTTCAGGGTAGAAAGGATGCAGCCCCTCCCCAAAGAAGACCGCTCATCAAACAGTCAAACCGTTTTGGAGATACATGTCGATAAAAGTCATTACGGCGGCCGGTCGAGCCGAAAAGTTCAATTTTCCCAACTTCTGTTACGTTCCGTAACGAGTACGGTGGACGCTGCCAGTTTACGGCGACTGGTTGCCACATTTCAACTTCGTCTACAAAAGTCACAATCCTTGGGGAATCTTGAGAAATCTCTAGCTCATTACGTCCGTAACGGTTACGGCGTCATTACGGATCCGGTGTGAACCACGCATTATGCGTGGTTCACACCGGATCCGTAATGACCGTTACGTGCCGTAATGAATACGTCGGCGATTAAATAATATCTTGAAAGTGGAGGGCACAATGCAACGCGCATGCGTAGTTCGATTTTTTGGCGACGTAACGCCGTATTCGTTATGCGTGGTTCACACCGGATCCGTAATGACGCCGTAACCGTTACGGACGTAATGAGCTAGAGATTTCTCAAGATTCCCCAAGCATTGTGACTTTTGTAGACGAAGTTGAAATGTGGCAACCAGTCGCCGTAAACTGGCAGCGTCCACCGTACTCGTTACGGAACGTAACAGAAGTTGGGAAAATTGAACTTTTCGGCTCGACCGGCCGCCGTAATGACTTTTATCGACATGTATCTCCAAAACGGTTTGACTGTTTGATGAGCGGTCTTCTTTGGGGAGGGGCTGCATCCTTTCTACCCTGAACTGTGCTATTGATATCACTCATGAGTGCCTGTTACAGCACGTGTCACGTGCGACGAGAGAGGTTCCAAAAGAGCTCGTCATACCATAACTCGGGAACGGCCGAATGGAAACGGTTCAATATTTGTTGTTTTGGCTGGGTGCACACTACACATCCCGTGACCTTAGGATGATTTCGAATTGCCTCAGCGCGTGCGCACGTGCGCACCCCTTTTTCACATTTCGGGATTGGCTGTGCCAATCGCGCCCATATTTGGTATGCTGAATGACATCATGTTTATATGCAAATTGCACAGGTTGACAAAAGCATTGATCTGCACGTGCGCACGTGCGTGCCCCTTTTTCATATCTGGGGATCGGCTGGGCCGATCGCGTTCATATTTGGTGTGCTGAATGACACCATGTACATATGAAGATTGAACAGATCGGCAAAGGCATTGGTCTGCACGTGCGCGCGTGCGTACCCCTTTTTGGCATCTTGGGATCGGCTGGGCCGATAGCGCTCATATTAAGTATGCTGAATGACACCAAGTTTATTTGCAGATTGCACAGGTCAGCAAAAGCATTGATCTGCACGTGCGCACGTGCGCACCCCTTTTTCATATCTGGGGATCGGCTGGGCCGAAAGTGCTTACATCAAGTATGCTGAACGATAACATGCTTATATGTAGAATTCACAGGTCGGCAAAGGTATTGATCGGCACGTGCGCACGTGCGCACCCCTTTTTCATATCTCGGGATCGGCTGGGCCGATAGCGCTCACAGTTGGACTTTGGTATGCTGAATGACACCACGCATATAAAGTATGCAGATTGCAAAGGTCAGCGAGAGTATTGGTCGGCACATGCGCACGTGCCCACCCCTTCTCACATGTTGCGATTGATTGGGCTGGTCTGGGTAGCGGGTAGCGGTCTGCTCGTGTGCAAGTGCGGACCTTTCTACTTGAAAAAAATCGTATCAACTCGCCGACTGATTTTTAGGCATTATTTCATGTAGGTATGCCTTCAGTATGTCACAACCTACTTTGTATCTCTTGAGTGACGTACATAAAATTCATGTTCCGTTATTACATTTCACTCGTTTATTTAAAGATTACATTTTCTTCGTAGGCCTAGCCTAGCCCTAAATCATGTAGGTATGTTTCAGGTCAAGTTCAAAGTCCACAAAATAAATTCCAATACATAGATTCTCGTGCCACGTCTTTTATGCAGTTCTGAGTCAACTTCGCTGCCCATATTGCCCCTGCTAGACTTGATGCTTGGACGGACACTGCACCGCCTCTTCGCAAGCCAATTGAGCAAACTGTACGATGCGTACGTTGACCTTGCCCATGGATAGCAGCGATTCACGAGTGTAGAAAATGAACTTCAGCGTTGACCAGCATAGGCATGTTTTCTTGTTTATGCCAAAAAAGGATAAAAGATTGTCTGTAAAGTATCATATGCCCACAATTGTAGTTAATTAACAATGATATGCCTCCATACAATTATAAACCACTATGCAAAAGTGATCGAATAAATTTAAAAAGAAGAGAGCAAAACCAATTAAAATTTTGACGCACCGATATTAAGAAACAGCTCTTAGCTTTAGCCCATTTTTCGATTGTTTTTAAGCAAAATAGTTTTGGCGCACTTGATTCGAAGGACGGCGCTCAACATGGCAATTCCCGGTGCACACCGAATCCGTAACGAATACGGCGTTACGTCGCCAAAAAATCGAACTACGCATGCGCGTTGCATTGTGCCCTCCACTTTCAAGATATTATTTAATCGCCGACGTATTCATTACGGCACGTAACGGTCATTACGGATCCGGTGTGAACCACGCATTAGTGATTCGGTGTGCACCGGGAATTGCCATGTTGAGCGCCGTCCTTCGAATCAAGTGCGCCAAAACTATTTTGCTTATAAACAATCGAAAAATGGGATAAAGCTAACAGCTGTTTCTTAATATCGGTGCGTCAGAATTTTAATTGGTTTTGCTCTCTTCTTTTTAAATTTATTCCTATCACTTTTGCATAGTGGTTTATAATTGTATGGAGGCATATCATTGTTAATTAACTACAATTGTTGGCATGATACTATACAGATAATTTTTTATCCTTTTTTGGCATAAACAAGAAAACATGTCTATGCTGGTCAACGCTGAAGTTCATTTTCTACACTCGTGAATCGCTGCTATCCATGGGCAAGATCAACGTACGCATCGTACAGTTTGCTCAATTGGCTTGCGAAGAGGCGGTGCAGTGTCCGTCCAAGCATCAAGTCTAGCAGGGGCAATATGGGCAGCGAAGTTGACTCAGAACTGCATAAAAGACGTGGCACGAGAATCTATGTATTTGAATTCATTTTGTGGACTTAGAACTTGACCTGTAACATACCTACATGATTAGGGCTAGGCTAGGCCTACGAAGGAAATGTTATCTTTAAATAAACGAGTGAAATGTAATTACGGAACATGAATTTTATGTACGTCACTCAAGAGATACAAAGTACGTTGTGACATACTGAAGGCATACCTACATGAAATAATGCCTAAAATCAGTCGGCGAGTTGATACGATTTTTTTCAGGTAGAAAGGTCCGCACTTGCACACGAGCAGACCGCTACCCGCTACCCAGACCAGCCCAATCAATCGCAACATGTGAGAAGGGGTGGGCACGTGGGCATGTGCCGACCAATACTCTCGCGGACCTTTGCAATCTGCATACTTTATATGCGTGGTGTCATTCAGCATACCAAAGTCCAAATGTGAGCGCTATCGGCCCAGCCGATCCCGAGATATGAAAAAGGGGTGCGCACGTGTGCACGTGCTGATCAATGCTTTGCCGACGTGTAAATTCTACATATAAGCATGTTATCATTCAGCATACTTGATATAAGCACTTTCGGCCCAGCCGATCCACAGATATGAAAAAGGGGTACGCACGTGCGCACGTGCAAATCAATGTCTTTGCCAGCCCGTGCAATATTCATATTTACATGGTGTCCTCTAGCATACAAATTATGAGCGCTATCGGCCCAGCAGATCCCGAGGCATTAAAAAGGGGTGTGCACGTGCGCACGCGCTGAAAGGAATTCAAAACCGTTCAAAGGTCACCGGATGTGTAGTGTGCACCCAGCCAAAACAACAAACAAATTTTGAGCTGTATCGCTTCAGCCGTTCCCGAGTTATGAAATGACGAGCTCTTCCGGAACCTCTCACGTCGCACGTGGCACGCGCTGTAACAGGCACTCATGAGTTTTATGGATAGCACAGTTCCATGAAGAAAGGATACATCCCCTCTCCAAAGACGACCGCTCATCAAACAGTCAAACCGTTTTGGAGATACATGTCAACAAAAGTCATTACGGCGCCGATCGGGCCGAAAAGTTCAATTTTCCCAACTTCTGTTACGTTCCGTAACGAGTACGGTGGACGCTGCCAGTTTACGGCGGCTGGTTGCCACATTTCAACTTCGTCTAGAAAAGTCGCAATGCTTGGGGAATCTTGAGAAATGTCTAGCTCATTACGGCCGTAACGGTTACGGCGTCATTACGGATCCGGTGTGAACCACGCATTACTCTATCATGTTCCTTTGCCTTACAGGTTTTATTTCATTCTTTTATGTTAGCCATGCTCATCAAGTAAAAATTATGCCTCATGCTTTTGTCGGTATTTTGCGAGCGAGCCCGATACTCCGTGTCTTAGTGTACAAGTCAGATAGTAGGTAGTAGTATGCTATGTTAACCCGCGCCGTGCTGGGGGGGGCGTTTTTACGCCCCCCCCCCTCAGGTTTTTCGCGAATATCTCAAAAACGGCGGCGTGCGCGCCGCCGTTTTTGGTACACGTGTTCCTACATCATTTCCGCACATGTTGTGAAAATTTCAGACCTAGGCCGTTCAAGGTCAGGTCACCAGGTCACGTCAAGTGACCTTACCTCAGAAAAAGTTCAAAGGCTCGCTATAGCTACACCGACTGAACGATCACTTTGAAACTTTCAGCGATTGATATGAGTAACAGTATGTATAAAATGTTTATCTCGGATTTTTGATATCTGTGACCTAAGGTCAGGTCAATTTTGCGACCTCTCCATTATAAGTCAATGGGAGAAAATTGAAATGCGCCTCTTTTGGACGAATATCGTTCAAAACGCTCTCAAACATCGGTTCATAGGTAAACATGACACACTGAATAGGAAAAATGCACCTGTGACCCCTCTGTGTGCCCCTGAGGTCATCTCAGGTCATGAACGGTCGCCAGCAGTTTTTTGGCTATAACTTTTGATAGAGACGTGCTAGAGCGGTGAAAACACGTCAGATGTGTTCAGCTCGACGATACGGATCGGCTGATATGCAACATGACCCTTTTCGGTCAGGTCATGACCTTGACCTGAGGTCAAATTTTCAAAATGACCTTTCAAGGTCAACAAATAGTTCATTCGACGCGTCTTGACAAGAGGAACACGATGCTGGCAAAAGTAATGTCATGGCGCTTATGAGTCAAAAGTTATTGACGAAAAAACGTTTTTCGTAAAAACGGCTATTTTTGGAGTTTTTGCCCTCTGGAGGCTAAACCGTTGACCTGAGGTCAAATCTGAGAACATTACTCAGAAAGGTCTGTAAAAGGGCTATCGAATGCGCTTTTCTGCGGCGCTGTAGCTCTATCGGTTCCCGAGATAGCCGTTGGCAGTTTCCAAAATGTTGAAATAGTCAACATTTTACCTTTGGTGACCTCTGGTGACCTGACCTTTGACCTGACCCAAAAAATGACCGAAGTGTTTTCGTCCTTATTTTTGACGCTCTTTCGATTGCCGCTTACCGCGTGTCGCTACGTGGCCCAGGAGCCGAGTTAGACAGGGGGGCGTGAAAACGCCCCCCCCCCCCAGCACTCGGCGGAAAGTTCAGGCCACCAGCACGGCGCGGGTTAAATTATTACTGCTAATATTCTGCCCTGGTCAGGTGCATCATGCCGTCATATTATGACATCTAATATGTGTTTTCCAACACCAGCTGAGCCGCGTCTGGATGTTCTGGTGAACAATGCTGGCGTAATGCGCTGCCCGCGGCTGGTGACTCTCGAAGGTATTGAACTTCAGCTGGGTGTCAACCACATGGGGCACTTTCTGCTGACGAACCTTCTGCTCGACAAACTAAAGGTTAGTTTTCTAAATTATTAAGGTCAATTCAATAAGAATGAATGCTGTCATTAGGATAACTTTGCAGTTGCACCTTACCCTGAATGTTGAATTGAAACGCATAACAATTTATTCATTTATCTGCACTTTAAACCGTCTTGCATGTGCTCGTATGGTCGCCGTAATTATTGAACAAGGTCAGTTATACGTTAGAGCTTAGCACACGGACGAGTTGCATTGTCACAAAATTCGCATTCAACCAGAGAGACAGAACCATTTGTAAGTTTCCTGTCCGTAATCATGCGGCTCTGCTGCGATTATATCGTCCCGTCCTTACGACATCGTCCCCTCCCGGCCCCCACAGAGCAGCGCGCCCAGCCGAGTGGTGAACCTCGTCAGTGTGGCACACCGGCGTGGTCTCAGTCACAGTCACACAGTCACAGTCACAGTCACTAACACTCAGTCACAGTCACAGCCACAGTCACAGTCCTGTCCCACAGAGCAGCGCACCCAGCCAGGTGGTGAACCTCGTCAGCGTGACGCACCGCCGCGGTCTCAGTCACAGTCACAGTCACATACATTCACAGTCTCAGTCACAGTCACACTCCTGTCCTGTTTCCACAGAGCAGTGCTCCCAGCCGGGTGGTGAACCTCGTCAGTGTGGCGCACCGCCGCGGCGCCATCGACTTCAAGGACCTCAACAGCGATAAGGAGTACTCGCCCGTCGAGGCGTACAACAACAGTCAGCTGGCCAACATGATATTCACCGTGGAGCTGGCCAGGAGGCTCAAAGGTGGGTCAGATGAGAACGAAGGGGACGGGAGGGTCGGAAGACTCAAAGGTGGGTCAGATTAGAGCGGAGCTGACGGGGTTGGTCAAGCTTAGAGGTGGGTCAGATGAGATCGGAACTGCTGAGGCCGCTGGCCAGGAGGCCCAAAGGTGGGTCAGTTGGACGAAGTAGCTACTGGGGTTTAGTGACGGAGACATTTCCGGATACGGACAACATGCTAAAACTGTCTGAACTGTATTGATATAGGCATTTGTTCGTTTATACCACGCGCTTATTGAAGACCATGCGTTGCTGACAAATTTTCGTCACTGTTTCTTACTGATAAACATGGCGCTGACTTACGACCCGGCTACTGGCACGACACCCGATCCGTGACCAAACTCCTGCCCTAACCCCTTAGATGCTGACCCATGGCTTGCCTAACCTGTGAGGTAACCCCTGACACATAACCGGTGACGCCCCTCTTTTCCCCGCAGGCACGGGTGTGACGTGTAACGCCGTCCACCCGGGCCTCACCGCCACCGAGCTGAGTCGCCACATGAGCTTCTACAACAGCTGGCTGGCGGCGGTCGTAGTGAAGCCCCTGCAGTGGTTCGTGCTCAGGACACCCGCCCAGGGCGCCACAGCAGTCGTGTACGCCGCCGCCGAGCCTTCGCTCAGTGAGAGGACCGGCGAGTACATTAGGTGAGAGGGGAACGGTGGGGGAGTACGTATGTGAGAGGGGAACGACAGGGGAGTGCATTAGGTGTAGAGATGTCAATCGGATGCCAATTTTTTGGTATACCGATACGAAACCGATACCAACTTGGTATTTGGTATTTCAATCCTAATGTACTTGGTATTTTGTTGGTATTATGAACCCTCACTTATGTATAAGAGGCTGAGAAATTGGTTAAAAGTCGGTATTTCCCTCATGTTATGAAGTTGGTTCGGTATCGGTATTTCTTCACGGTTTATGTTGGTATTTGGTTTGGAATTGGTATTCATATTTTCTATAATTGACATCACTAATTAGGTGGGAGGGGATCGACAGGGGAGTACGTTATGTGAGAGGGAAACGACAGGGCAGTACGTTAGGTGAGAGGGGATCGACAGGGGAGTGCATACGGTGAGCAGGGAACGGCTGGGTAGTGCATCAAGCGAGCGGGGACGGTCGCCTATCGCCGGCCGGTCGTTTTGTTCGTTTACGGTCGTTGTGTATGGTGGGTTTCATCATAGTTAGTAGGTAGGTACAGTTTCAACAACCCTAGTCTGAGGTAACGATGTGGGTCTGCAGCTTTTATGTCACACAGTAATAAGTGATGGTTATATAGTTGCGATGTGTTGTGGCCTTCAGGAGTTGTGTACAATGTACATGAATGCATCAAATGGTGACACTGGCCCGTGCTTTCTATGACATTTATGTGACAGTTGTGTCGTGTCGGAAATGAGTGTAAACGAGTGTAGTTGTTTGTATACCGGAGTTGTGTGATCAATATGATAAGGACTGAGGAGTGACATGCCCGTGCCGTCTGTGACATTTCCCTCCGGCGCCGGCAGTGGGTGCGAGGTAATGTCGCGTATCGAAACACGTTATGTATAAACGAGTGCCGATATTGCTGTCTTTGGCTCGTGTCTGACAGTTTCCCTCCCTTTTCGGTAGTGAGTGCGAGGGCACCACGATAGCTGAGGAGGCGCTGAACGAGCGGCTGGGAGCGCGCCTCTGGGCCACCAGTGCACGGTGGACGGGTCTGACGGCCGGACCCAGCAGACCCGCGCCCGCCGAGTCCGCCCAAACTTCCACAGAGTCCACACCCACAGAGTCCGCGTCCACAGAGTCCACACCCACAGAGTCCACGTCCACAGACTCCACCGGCGCGGCCACTGACGTTCCCGTCGATGTGACCCTGGCAGCGGCGACGGTTACCAGCGTGGCATCGTAGCGTGCTAGTCAATAGTCGAAGGTGGAATTTGAATAAACGTGCTGTTGAAAGCACCCTGTGAATTGGTCAATTATGTGCCGATGGGGGCATTTGGTGAACACAAGCGTACAGTCGTCGATGAATAATTGACACTGGTGCGTCGCTTGAGTCGCTCCGTCGGCTGGGTGTACACTCACCTACTAAGTGATGTTCGCCCCCCGACGGCCCAGCGTTTGACTGGAGCGGTAGACTGCGCCGTCTCACACCCAGGCTCAGCGGCACAGCACATCCCTCTGGCCTCAACGGTAGACTGTGCCGCCGCACACCCAGGCTCAGCGGCACAGTATATCTCTCTGGCCTCACACTCGCTACAGACGCGTTTGACCGGGTCAGGGACGCGCCGCGCTGGTTGCCTTATCGCTCACAGTCACATATCTGTGGCTAGGGGGCCTGCTGCGAATCGCTGGTCTTTCTGTGTCGACTCGAATATGATTCTTGTAAGTGGTCACGATCGCATTTAGCTCAGTGAGATTAGTTATAGCAATTTATATCGTTTATTTTCTCCCGGGTGAGGTGTGTGGGGGGGGGGTGTTTGGCCACACTTGCCAATGTTTGTGTGTGTCTGTAACGGAAACTGCGGCGCACAGCGACGCAAAACTTGGCACAACTTATGAATTTCGTATCGTGTCTGGAATTGTTGACACCTGGTCACATCATAAAGTCAGGTCAAAATGCTCCTCTTTTTAGCGATGGCACCCGGATACAGGTGAATAATGGCACACCGAATCACAAAATTCCACTCTTGACCCATTTTATGCCCCTGAAGTCATCTCACATCATGATACGTCTCCGTAACCCTCGCCGGCACGGGGGGAAGTTGATGCACCCGCCACCCCCCCCCCCCCCCACCCAAGGCTTCAAGCGAATAACTCGCGTAAAAAGCAGCCGATTGCGACAAAGCTTTCAGTACCCTCGCATTGATCAATTTCACATCTACCCTGAAAATTTCATGACCCTGACCAAAATGACCGTTGACATGTGACCTACTTTCCGAGGCCATGTTTGGCCGGAAGCGCGATTCGGCGTATGTCGGCTCGCATTAGCCGCGCGTTTGCAAGCTTTTCGTGGTTTCAAACGTTCATACATGTGATTTGTTGTTGCTCCCATGCAATAGGGTGGATGGCAAGGTCACCTGAAGGTCAGGCCAGGTCAGGTCATTGATCTTTGGTGACCTCGGTTCACTTTTCGAGTTTTACATGTTTCTATGCTGGTTTTTGGAGATGAATTCGAATTTAGAAAGTATTTGAACATTTACGAAGTAGTTTTGGTGCCTTCGTAACATGTTACGAAGTTGTCAGAGGCGGTTGCCACCTACTACGATTACCCGGCAGGACCCCTACTGGTTGACCTGACCTGACCTGACCTGGTCTAAATGCTTAAAGACATCATCTGTGATCAAAAGTAACACGATATTCGTGATCAGCATCCCCCCCCAAAAAAAAAACATAGCAGCGACACTCAACCAATGACCTAGAGCCTTAAAATTGGGCATCATCGGCTTTCTCTCGTCACGGGCAACACGCTCGTTTTTTTAAGCGACGCTCTAGCTCGATCAGGGGCCAAACGGCAAGGGGGGGGGGTCCAACCGACCCCCCCCCCCCTTACACTTTAAAAGCTGGCAAACGCCGCACATATGCGAGGGTTAAAATGGGATATAATCGGTTTCCTCTCGTGACGGGCAACACGTTTGTTTTTTCCATAAAGCTCTAGCTTGATCAGGGGCGAAACGCGAGTGGGGTTGTACGGCCCCCCCCCCCTCCCCTTGTGCCGTCGAAGGACGCAAAATGGCCTGTGCCGGCGAGGGTTAACAGTTTTTGACAATGTCTTTAGATAACACATGATAGAACGCTGAACAACACCGATGCGTTCAGCTCAATGATATGAATCGAATGATAGGCACAACATGACCTTTTCTATGAGCTTGACCTGAGATCATTTTTGTAAATTAGATTTCAATGTATGGTTCATTTGACGCGTCTTCACGAAAGAAACGCGATTCCGGTTAAATCAACGTAATAAAAGCATGACGCCATAGGTTATTACAGAAAAACTATCCGCAAAACGTCAAATTTTGAAAGTTTTTGCCCTCTGGAGAAGTTTGCCCTCTTGTGAGAAGTTGTCAAAATGGGGAACCAGAATTCGTGATAATTTTAATGCTGGTGACCTGCAGTGACCTTAGCGATAATCTGATGGAATAATAACCCATGAAAAAATCCAACAGTGGGCTATAGATTGCTTTTTACTGCGTCTTTTTCTTTTTTGCTTTCTTACCTTCCGAGATAACCATGCGTGGTCAAATACCTACTTGTGTGGCCCCCTCCCTCACCCCCCACCATGGTAACGTTGGCTGAGAGGCCCACCTGTCAATTGCTCGGGATTCACCGACCACCGGCGCCACGCAACCACTCGACCGTTTTCTCCGAAGCACCAGTGAACAACCTCGCGACCCACGTTCTCCCCTGCCTCGCAGACAAGCTGTGGCTGAGCCCTCACCTCGAACTGGTCACATGACTGACCTCGCCCGAGGCTCGCCAAGTGACCAAAGCGCAGACTGGGCGCCGCGGTGCCATGGGGTCGCCACCTATCAGAACAACAGTTTCACTGCGATAACACTCGAAAACCACCACAGGTCCGTGGCGCTGTGGTTAGAAGGTGGGCTTGTAATTGAGAGGCGGTGCGTTCGGATCCTGCGGACGTCGTAACTTTTCTACAGAAAGGAGATCCGTGCCATTGAACTCATAGCTGGCTGTATGAACTCATAGTTTCCTGTATGTCGTTGCATGCCTTACCTGTTAACGCGTAGCATTACTTTAAATTATCTACTAGTGTGTATAGAAAGGAAGCATATTGCAGCGACTTCATTAGATAAAGCCCAGTTACTTATGTCTGCAGAGAGATGTCATCAAGGATGCTGAGTACGGTGTCAAGGCATGCCGCCAACACCTCCACACGTTCCACCATTTACACAGGCTTTGGCCTGCAATTGCAAACTGTAATTGATACCTACGCTGTCATCCCACAGCCGTTAGTTATAGGTCGTGGGCCCCGGACCTGGCTCCGCCTTGTGTTTACAGTGTTAAGTCATTTACCACCGGTCGGCCGGTCACGTGACTGACCTAGCCCGAGGCTTGGCCGGGTGACAGAAATGCGGGCCGCGTGCTGACTGATCGTTTCGCTGAGTTCGATGCACCTCCACGGGCGTAAAACGCTGGGCTGCGCGGGCCTACGAGGGTGTGCCGCAGCGGCAGAGATCGTAACTACCGATAGTGGGATGGGAACGTCCCGATAGGACAGCCCGTCCTGCCGCTCAAACGGTCACCCCGGAAATGGTGTAATCGAATGAGGAGTTTCCGTCACCTGCACCGGTCGTGTGGTGGGGTGACCGCCGTCTGGAAAGGGAAACGTGAGGAGCATGATGACTTCGTCCCGAGGAGGACAAGAATTAATTTAATGCCGCGCTAGGAAAAACAAGTTCCCAACAAAAGCAATCACCCCAGCGTGGCCCGAACACACAACCCTCCAATCTATAGTCCAGCACCCTGCTGCTACGCCACGGAATACGCACAGACCAAGGCACAGACTCCCAATTTGAAAGTAGATAAGTTTGTCGGAAGCCGCGGAGGTGTATCAATTGTGGGCGAAACGATCAGTCGGCACGCGGCCCGCACTCTGGTCAGACAGCCGGGGCTCGGGCTAGGTCAGTCACGTGACCGACCGACTGGTGGTGAAGGACTCCACACTGTAAACACAGGCGGAGCCAGATCCGGGAGCCAAGGATGTAACTAACGGCCGTGGGGTCAGGGGTGCCAGATTATGTGTGACAGGTAGGGCCTTGGCCTACAGTTTACAAATGCAGGCTTAAGTGAAAATGGTCCTTGTTATTGCATTGGTGCAACGAGCAGAGATGTAAGCGGCACCTTTGACACCATTTACGTAACATTTAGGAAATGACATGTCTATGCAGTTGTAAATATCTGGGATCTAAGTAGATATGCAAGTCGCTGCAATAGGTATGATTTTCTATTCTTGATAATTAAAATAAATGCAACGCATAAACACTAAACAGGTAAGGCACGCAACGATAAACACGAAGCTATTAACCAATCAGCTGTCAGGTTACAATAGCACAGATCTCCTTTCTGTAGAAAAGCAACGACTCCCGCCGCCCGCGCGATCCGAACACACGACAATTCAAAGGCCAGCCCGACGCCATACCACAGCGCCACGGATCCGCGGGCTGACCCGGCCCGGCCGGCTGCAGTGTCGATAGGTCGCGACCCTATGGCACCGCACCGCCCAGCCTGCGCTTGGGTCACTTGACCAAGCCTCGGGCGAGGTAAGTCATGTGACCGGTTCGAAGTGAGGGAACCCACACAGAATCCAGTAGTGAGTGAGATACGGAGCCCCGGGGCATAGCCACGTGCCTGTAGTTAGGGACTTGAACCACCACCAGGGTCCCGAGGGCCGAAGTTTATACGCGGACAATATAAATAAAGTTTTTTATAGTCTATATTACCTATAAAGTTTATATAGTTATCCTACAAAGCTGCACTTGTTTGTGGGCGAGTGGCTGCTGGCGGTGGTGGGTCTCGTGATGATGTATGATTGATGCGTTTTATAAGCAATTAAATAAATAATCAGGACACAAGAGACGGGCCAACACAGAAGTGAGAGCAGACTTTGGGTTTGTTGCTTTCCTCACTCTTTTTTTTTTAGCGGGATAGCCGGGTTGTTTTCCATTGCCGCGCAGTTCCTTTCAAGCGCTGACGGATTTGTTCAGCCGCAGCTTGGCTACGGGCAGGGGAGAACGAAGGTCGCGAGGTCGTTCACTGGCGCTTCGGAGAAAACAGCTGAGTGCAGTGGTTGCGTGGCGCCGGTGGTCAGCGAATCCCAGCATCTGACAGAACCAAGGAGCTGTTCGTGACCGTTTCTCTCACTCTCTCTCTAGACCAATGTCAACGGCCAGATATCTCGACCATTGTGTCAAGGCCACAGGTAGGGTTCGCTAACGGACCACCACGGA